TTTTCTAAGCTTTAAATTCCAAATAATTGAAATTTTATATATCATTTTAGACCATTTAGTTTCAAATTAAGTCTCATCATCTGCTAAGTCTTTCCTTTCAAATTTTAATGCTTTGTAATTAACTATATTAAGTTTTGTTTAAATTCTTTATAAATCAAACATAAGACATTTTATATATTTATGTATTGAAGCCAATACTTCTAAATTTAATGGTTTATATTTATCTGGAATATTGGAAGCATTATATTTCTATAAAGTTTATCTTATACTCTTTTAAAATTCCTAAGGAATCTTTTGTAAAATGATCATCAAATATCTACTGAATTCACTATCAGAATGTTCATTCTACAATAATTGAAGGGTCTATTTATTTTAAAATATATTACAACCCTACAAATGTCTTCAAGTTCATAGGTTTTCTCAGTTCTTTATTCATCTAATAAAACAGCCTATTAATAACATTATTCCAACACTTCTTCCTCTTTATGTTCTCTATAATATAATTTTGGAATTGCTACTAAACCTTAACCCAAAAGAATAACAACTAAAAGTAATCCACTAAATGATAAATAATATCAATTACAAGAAATTGCTCACACCTATAAGAACACCTTCTACATGAGTTGAATCAAAATTATCCTTAATCAATAAATAAATGGCTAATCCAACAATTATTATAGTTCCTATTCCATATATTGTTAAATTTTTTTTCAAAGAGTACTTAATTTTACCTCTTACATCAAAATCCCCAGAGCCTTCAAAATCTTAAAAAAATGGTAACACCAACCTGTATAATAAGAATTTTTACCAAGCCAAAAAGAAGTTTCCCCAATACATAATTCTCCATAATATTTTAATGTTACCCATTGTTTCTAACTATTAAGTTTCATTAACCTATTTGGTTGACTAATATTCAATATTATATATAAAACATTAGCAATATCAATTGGTAGGACTAATACAATTGAAAAGGTTAATGTCCAAGATATAAAGGTTAAAATCTTGATGTATAATGGCACATCCTTAGCTGAGTATTCCCATATCAAGTATAAGACATAGATTAAAAGGATTGTAGTAGCAATAGAATAGAATACAACATCTTCTGTTAGCATTAAAAATAATAAAATTATGGAATGCTTATTTCTCTTTGATATTTCATTTATGAGATTTATAGGGTTGATAAATATCAAAAATAATATAACATAATTTATCAAATTTCAAATGCTTTTTATAATAGAGTCTAGATTTCCTTTTCATGTAATTGATGAAAACCAGTAGCTGGTGATCCACTTGGTTTCCTGCCAATATATTAAATAGGGGAATTAGATATATTTGTAGTTTTGGCCAATACACTTTAAATTCTTGGTCTTACAAATGCCCAAGGGCCATAATTCATATGTTCTTCTTAGACCCAAACAAATTCTGCTTTATTGTATTTGCCAATAATTTTTTGTAAGAATTCATAAGGAAATGGAGCTAACTATTCAATTCTCAAGATTGCCACATTCTATAATAATATATAAGATAGAATTACATTTTATTTAAGTTCTTCTCTTTTTTTAATAAGATCATAATAAACTTGTCCAGAACACAAAATAACTCTTTTAATTTGATTTGGTTCTACAAGGAATTCAGGGAAAGCCTCATCATAAACCTAATTAAATTAAGTAGTAAGTTCAATTAGCTTAGATTTAGCAGCTTACAATCTCAAAAGTCTTTTAGATGTCATAGCAATTAATGGTTTTCTAAAATCTCTTCTTAATTATCTTCTAAGAGCATGGAAATAATTTGCAGGAGTAGTACATTAAACAATTTGCATATTTGAATTTCTCATCTATCTAGTTAATCTGACTATAGAATATAAAAAGTATATAATACCTCCTAAATTTTTTTCAAAGACAGCAGGATCATCATCACTCAATTATAAAAATCTTTCAACTCTTCCTGAACTATGTTCTGGTCCTTATCCATCCATACCATTAGGTAATAACATAACCAATCCACTATCAACATCCCATTTTGATTCTGCACTAGCTATATAATTATCAATAATGATTTATGCTCCATTTGCAAAATCACCAAATTATCCTTCCCATAATACTAAAGTGTTTGGATTAGTTATAGAGTAACCATAATCGAAACCCAAGACTCCATATTCAGACAAATGAGAATTATAAATACTGAGCCTATGTTCTTATCCTTTTGGTATAACAGAATGTAAAGGAACATAATCTTAACCATTAGGATCCTTTTGATCATGAATAACAGCATGTCTGTGAGAGAATGTAGCTCTTTATACATCTTCTCCAGATAATCTAATATTGAATCCTTCATGAAGAAGAGTTCCAAATGCCATAGCTTCAGCAGCAGCAAAATCAATAGGTTAATCTTTTTGAATCCATGATAATCTTTCTTCATAGAATTTCCTGATTTAAGGATGGGCATTAAATTCATTTGGAATCTTATTAATTTTTTCCCCTAATGTTTTTAAAACATTCAAAGGAACACCAGTATCTTTAATTCTTCCCCAAAGAACTGGGACTTTAATCATTTCCCATGGCACAGGTTACCAATCTTTAAGATTATAATCCATTTTTCTAGATTTCTAATAAGCTAATTCAAGATTGTCTTCATGAGTTTTCATCAAATTATCCACTTGTTCTTTGGTTACAATACCTTGAGCAATCAACTTATCACTATATTTTATAAAGACAGGTGGAGTCTTATCAATTTTTTCATACATAATAGGTTAAGTGAATTTAGGTTAATCTTATTCATTATGTCCATATCTTCTATATCCTACTAAATCAATAAATATATCTCTCTTAAATTTATATCTATATTCAGTAGCAATCTTAAACACTTTATCAACTAATTCAGGTTCATCAGCATTAACATGAATAACAGGTGCTGATATAGCATGTGCAATATCTGTGCAATATAATCCAGATCTGCTATCTTTAGGAACAGTAGTAAATCCTATTTAATTGTTTGAAACAACATGAATAATTCCACCTGATTTATAACCTTCTAAATCTGCCATTTGTAAAGATTCATAAACTATTCCTTAACCAGAAACTGCAGCATCTCCATGAATCAATACTCCAAAAGCTTTTTCTCTCTTTGAATCTTGGAAATAATCTTAGATAGCTCTAACTTTTCCATAAACACAAGGATCCACAGTTTCTAAATGAGATGGATTAGGTAACATTTCTAATCTTAATTTCTTATCTCCAAAAAGTACATTATGAACTGAACCCAAATGATATTTCACATCTCCAGAATTACCCCAAATATCTTCATTAAAAGTACTCTTCAAATCCTAGAATTCAACCATTATTTCTTCAGCTGACTTTTAGAATACATTATAAAGTGTATTAAGTCTTCCTCTATGTGCCATTCCAAATACAACATGTTCAGCACCTGCATTTGCTGCTGCATCTATTAAAGATTATAATCCAGAAATCATTGAATCACATCCTTCTATTCCAAATCTCTTAGATGTGTTAAATTTCTTCTATAAAAATGTACTAAATGCATGTTCTTATCCCAATCTATTATAATCATAAATATTAATTCATACCTTTCAAATGTTTTTAATTTTTGCTCTTTACTTGGCATGAATTCATCATATTTTTCTATTTGATCTCTAAACCAATCTCTTTCTTCATTTGATTAAATATGCATATATTCATATGATATTTTTCCACAATAAGCTTTTTCTAAGTAATTTATTAGGTCTCTCAATTTCATCACTAATTATTAATATTATCCATTACTTTATTTGTCCTTTGTTATTCCTGTGCTTCCTACAGCATGTATATAAAATTCTCTATCCAAATCCTCTTATGTGAAATATTCACTATAATCCAATTTTGTATATCCTTTTACTTTGCCTATTTGTTATATATGCTCTAAATCCAAAGGGTCCACTTATGACTTCTCATGTCCTCTATGTCTGTATTTATTTATTAGCAATAAAACTCTGAAATGATCACTTAATAATTTCCTTACACCTGATTACCCCTAATTTCTTATGGATTATCATACATCTAATCTAACAGAAACTGCCTATCCATTTTATGGCTCAGGAGTGAAATCAAAATTGTTAGATTCCAAAACTTATCTAAAATATGAATCCCAAGTAGCAGGGACAGATTTATTATCCTAGTACCATTAATCGAATAGATTTTCCAAATATTCTGCATTTCCAGAACCAAGAAAAGAGACTCCAAACTTTTACAATTCGGAAAATTTATAAACATTATTGAGATTTCTGGCTACAAATCTAAGCATATTTAATTTATTTATCGATTTAGAATGATTATTTTTTAACATAAATTTATAATAATAATCAATATCCTGTCATAAAATCTTGCATTATTATTTTTAATATGCTTTAACACATTTAAATTAAACATTAATTTTCTATTAAAATACACTCAAAAACAGGATCGAACTCACCTCACTTTCATTTATATAAATCATTATTATTAAAAATGACTATCACCTAAATATTTTACAAATATCTCATATCAGGATTCTGATCAATATCATAAAAAAATAACTTATAGAAAGTATATATTTAATAGAATTTATAATAAAATCTTTAATAAGAAAAAAACAATAGGATTGATCTTAAAGTAATCTTAACACCTTAAAAAGAATGTTATTAATGCTAATAATCAAAATTATTTGTGATTGATAAAGTACGATGAAATAATCACTCTACATATATTATGCTTACTTAAATTAATTAAAAATTAAAAGAATTATTTAATAAACATCAATATTAAATAGTTATTTTAGATTAGGAAATATAATCTTAGAATCAATTAATACTAAATTATTAGAAAATTAATTATATTTATATATCTATAATCGTATGAAATCTAGATGAACACTGAAAATTCTTTTAAATATGTAAAAAAATATTCCAAACTTAAACGACAATTTGAATTTTAATCTAAAACTGTAATTATTTTATTAATGGAATATTATCAAGTTATTAAAATAGTTTTAATATTTAATCTTATTAAAATTTACTAATTTATTTTCTCTTAAATTATACAACAATTTAAGGATTGGCAAGCATAATTGAATATCAATATAAATAAGAATAATAACTAAATGCAAATTAAGTACCATTATGATGTTGTTATTCTTAACATATTTTAATTAATGAANTCCAAAGGGTCCACTTATGACTTCTCATGTCCTCTATGTCTGTATTTATTTATTAGCAATAAAACTCTGAAATGATCACTTAATAATTTCCTTACACCTGATTACCCCTAATTTCTTATGGATTATCATACATCTAATCTAACAGAAACTGCCTATCCATTTTATGGCTCAGGAGTGAAATCAAAATTGTTAGATTCCAAAACTTATCTAAAATATGAATCCCAAGTAGCAGGGACAGATTTATTATCCTAGTACCATTAATCGAATAGATTTTCCAAATATTCTGCATTTCCAGAACCAAGAAAAGAGACTCCAAACTTTTACAATTCGGAAAATTTATAAACATTATTGAGATTTCTGGCTACAAATCTAAGCATATTTAATTTATTTATCGATTTAGAATGATTATTTTTTAACATAAATTTATAATAATAATCAATATCCTGTCATAAAATCTTGCATTATTATTTTTAATATGCTTTAACACATTTAAATTAAACATTAATTTTCTATTAAAATACACTCAAAAACAGGATCGAACTCACCTCACTTTCATTTATATAAATCATTATTATTAAAAATGACTATCACCTAAATATTTTACAAATATCTCATATCAGGATTCTGATCAATATCATAAAAAAATAACTTATAGAAAGTATATATTTAATAGAATTTATAATAAAATCTTTAATAAGAAAAAAACAATAGGATTGATCTTAAAGTAATCTTAACACCTTAAAAAGAATGTTATTAATGCTAATAATCAAAATTATTTGTGATTGATAAAGTACGATGAAATAATCACTCTACATATATTATGCTTACTTAAATTAATTAAAAATTAAAAGAATTATTTAATAAACATCAATATTAAATAGTTATTTTAGATTAGGAAATATAATCTTAGAATCAATTAATACTAAATTATTAGAAAATTAATTATATTTATATATCTATAATCGTATGAAATCTAGATGAACACTGAAAATTCTTTTAAATATGTAAAAAAATATTCCAAACTTAAACGACAATTTGAATTTTAATCTAAAACTGTAATTATTTTATTAATGGAATATTATCAAGTTATTAAAATAGTTTTAATATTTAATCTTATTAAAATTTACTAATTTATTTTCTCTTAAATTATACAACAATTTAAGGATTGGCAAGCATAATTGAATATCAATATAAATAAGAATAATAACTAAATGCAAATTAAGTACCATTATGATGTTGTTATTCTTAACATATTTTAATTAATGAAATTTATTAGAATAAACCTAACGACATTTAATTATTTTTTTAGAAATATGAATATAAAATGGAGAAAATACTAAAATTAATTCATTTATGGAAATGATACCAAGCTTAGATTATAAATAGTTTAATACATCATACTAATTTATGATGTTACTTTAAATATGAAATTTATTTTTCATTCAATTTTATCATTTATCCTTTATCAAGCAAGTAATTATTTTATGAGTCCATCAAGTATCCTTTCTAATCCACATGATAGGTTTCATTAATCATATCGGTTGGACAGGTTTTATCTTTTAAAAGACTCAACTCGTTAGCTATTTGTTATGTCAATAAATTACCTAATTAATTGATTGAATTATAAATATCTTCAAATTCCATTTTAGATTCAAAGAATATTTTCATTCTATTTTCAAAAGAAATTTAAATGGATCGTACTTTTTCTTCCAATGACATTTGTTTGGTTTCATAGTCAACTTTCTATAAAATAATTATACTTTAAAATACCATTTCAGAAAACTTGTTTCCCAATTACATAATTTCTTATTTTAATTTTTTTTGATCATCAACTGCTCTTCTATCAAGGTTATTTGAATTAGTAAAAGTTGGAGAAGCAGCCATTTTTAATTTTTCAATCAATTCTGAATTTAATTCTTTCATTTTTTCCAAGTCAAATTTAATCTAAATAATTGTTTCATTTTATTAGTTTATCCTGGAATCTAATTAGATTACAAGTTTTTTGAGTGTTTAGATTTCATTTTATTGAGAAGCATTTAAACTATTTTGATTTTTAGGCGACTAAACATCCTCAACTTTGGTGTATTAAGGAGTGTAGGTTTGCCCTCTTGTTTTATCTCGATCGACACTTGCAAAATTTGATATGGGAATCTTATTTGGACTGGCTGATGTTAGAGGTCTCATATATTTTTATTACATTAAAAGTTAAATAAATAATTTTTTTCAATACGCTTAAATATAACACTTTAAAACAATTCCGTAGAAATACATCAAAATATCAATGATATCTTTTTCTTAATTAATGAGCCTTTTATTAATTCATTTCTACAAGTAAATCAAGTCTCAATAAATTGTCAACTCCTAATTTTGAAATTGTAGAGTTTTCACTTGAAGTATCACGAAGTAATTTTGTTAATTTATCTTTCTCTCTCTATTTCTTTATCAACAATAAAGGTTGATCATCAGGTGCATTATCAGGTATAATTGGTGCTGGTTATTTACGAAGAGTATCAAAATTGATATCTATATTAAGAAATATGTTTACAACCCTTAAAAAATGAATGTCTTTTGGCTTCTTCAACAGTCATCCTAGTTTTATAATTGGGATCTAATAATCTCTCGATAAAATCTTTTGCATTTAAACTCAATTCATTTTCTCCATCTCCAATTTCAGGCCAAGTTATATTCCTTTACAATATATTTTCAAAGATCTTTTCTGGAGTATCATCATTAAAAGGTGGAATACCAACCAAGAATTCATAAGTTATTACACCTAAACTCCATTGATCAAGTGATTCATTGCTTATAGACTCTCCTCTAATTACTTCAGGAGCTATATAATCTGGAGTACCAACAACTCTATGTTTATTATGATTGCTGGCCTTTATTGATATACAATGATCAAATCTAGGAGACTTTGGTTCACTGCTTACTAAATCTTTTATATTATTGTCTAATTATTGTTATAATTTAAGAGCTTAACTAGGTTCAGATTGTTTCATATATAGTTTCATTCCTATTTCTGATAATCCAAAATCAGTTAATTTTAAATGACCTTTACCATCTATTAAGATGTTTTATGGCTTCAAATCTCTATGAATGATTTACTTTTTGTGTAAAGCCTCTATAGCCAAGAGTAATTCACCAATATAAAATTTAGCTATAGGTTCATCTAAAGCTCCATATTTTCTTAAAATTTTATCAAAATCACCTCCTTTTACATATTCAAGAACATAAAATAAACAATCTGAATGACTAAAAGAATAGTAAGCTTTTGCAACGAAATCCCCTTCAAGAACTGAAAATATAGTACTTTCAGCTTTAAGGGTTTCAAAAAAGTTTTAACTTGATTATTATTAAGTGTCAATAACTTTCATTGCATAAACATCATTAGTTTTTAATTTTCTAACCTTCCAAACTGCTCCATATGCTCCAACACCCAATACTTCTTAAAATTCAAAATCTTTTAATCCTACTGTCATTCTAGAATTAATGATATTATAAAATAAATTACATTTTTTAAGTAGATTATGGAATTCTCAATGTAATTCCAGAATCAGAATAATAACCTCTAATAAATAGATTTTATTGAACATCATCACTATCATCATCTTCTTATTGAGAATATATATGAATATTTAATAATTATTATGTATTAGTATTCTAATTTACATTCTCTTCTGAAGGAGAAAATGTTATATATTCTAAAGAATCAATTTTTTATTCTTAAATTGGAGTTTATTAATTTTAATATTAACATTCCTCCTAATCCTCCTTATATTATCTTTGATTAAATTTAGATTTATTGGGTTTGACTAAATCCATAATCCTTACTTTACCTCCAGTATTAACTCCTTTTTTATTACGACTATTTAATGAAGTTCCTGCTTATTTATATGAATTTGATAATCCTTTTTAGAATATTTTTTTTAATTTATCAATTGATCCACATTATAATTATAATTATGCTGCATCTATTTTATTTGCTTATTTATTTAATGCTAATCGTTATGTTATTAAACTTAAGGATCTTTTCATTAATTCACTAACATCATTTAAATGATTAATTTCAGGTAATCCTAATTTAATTAATGATTAAAATTTAGCATCAATATCTAAACCAAATGAATTATCTTATTTTAATATTTTTTAACAATATTGTTGAGTAACTTTCAGTAAAGATATAGCACATTTTATTTATTTTTAACTATCTGGACTCATACTCATAGATGATTCTAAACGAGTAAAATTCCTACCTGGTTTTCTTTAATGAAATGTTGGAAATTCACTAATGCTATTATCTTCAGAGATATTTATGGTTTTTGCTCTATATAAACCTCTTTATCTCTGATCACTTTATTGAGCAAACTTCGAAAGAGTAATTTATTATTTGCTTCTGCTCATTACTGGACTGTTTTAATGACTTAAATTTTTTTCAGACATCCTTTATTTAGTATACAAATTTATTTTAGTAATAAGTTCAATCTCCTTATTATTTATTTCCTCTGATAGCTCTTAAATTTTATCCTATATTGCATAAATATCTTTATTTAACATATGTTTTTTTAGACATAATTGCGAATGTTCCTCTACAATACTTAGCAATATTTCTTTTTCACAAATACAACACACCATTTTTTAAGGATGTAATTTGAACATTAATTCTGAATATAGCACTATTTTATATCGTTTCCCTTCTATCTATTGAATACCTTATAAATTCAATTAGGGAAATCTTGAAATTCGATTATTGATTATTTTTTGATAATAGTTTTCATATTTACCTTTGGTTATTTATTATTATGATAATTTAGGCCACATTCTAGTTAAATTTCTATACCCATAACATTGTCGAATTATAGTTTACAATGTTTATTATAAAAAGTCTTCGGTATCAAAAATTCTTGCTAATGATATATCATATAGGGGATAAATCTCTTAAGAATCACTATCATTAGGATATATAGAAAGAATTTCTAATTTATTCTAATTTTTCATATATTTAATATATGAATTTTATATTACATTGTCATCATCTATTGCTAATAAATTTTTAGTTTTTTTGTAGTAATCCAAACCAAATCATTAAATATCGATTATTTATTATTTCAAATGAAATATGTATTAATTCAGTTTAAGGTACTAAAATTTATAAATAAATTTGTATCCTTAATTTTATACGATTGTATACATAAAACATATAATATTTAAATTAAAGTATCAAAGAAAAATAGAGTTTAGATAAAATTGATTATTTCATTCAAAAAAATCAATGATTTTTTTAAGAATTATAATATTGCTATTATCTAAGCAGTGTTATATTATTCATTTTGTTTATAATTCAAAATCTTATGTCTTCCTTTTTTCGATTTCTAATAATGCATAAGGTTTTGGTGGTTTCCTTACAAGCAAATAGATTAAGACAATCCCAGTCCAGGAAAGTAATGCTATAACAAATACATTATAATCAAAGAACCAAGTAAAGAAATATAAATATTAAATCTAGCCTAAGAACATTAAAGCAATTTGTGAATTTTAAGTATATTCTGAAAAAGCTTGTATACTAAATTGAGTAACAGCAACAGAAGTAATGAGTAATAGATTTGCATTGAAAAGGAAACTATTCATAAAAGTCTCATTTATTTTCATAGGATAGATTGTGAAGAGAAAAGGAATTCTGAGTCCAAACTTCAAGTTACCCTTATATGTACAACCCAATAAATATAAAGTAAAAAGAGCTAACAAAATAGTTCCAATAAATGACATTACTGTTCCCTCTAAATAAATAAACATCTTATTCAAAAAACTATAAGCAGGAAATCCATTTATTTTAATAAGCATATACAACAATCTATTTTATAATAAAAAAAGTAATACATTTATAAAATCCATAATAATGATAAAATTATGAATATAATTCCTAAAATTAATTTAAAAATCCAAACAATAGGATTAACATCTAAATATTTTAATTCTAATTTAAATATTTAGTATTCATTTTCAAGTGCTTCTGTAGCTGCTTAAAACTTTTTAGCTTTTTATTTAATTTAATTTTTCACTTTTCTTTCTGCCATAAATCCATTAACTAAAGCTAATTCTTTTTCTTCTTCTTTAATTTATTAACCAAATTAGATTAATTCTACTGTTTATTTTTTTAATCTCATCTTTTTTTCCATTGCTTCAGATGATTTTAGTTGTTTAGGTCTATTAATATATTCCTAAATCAAATCAATAGGTAATGCAGAAAGACCAACTCCACCAAACAATACTAATAAAAACCATCCAATAAATGCCAAGAATCCCATCAAAAATACAGGAAATGATACTGAAATCTCTACATTAGTATCACTTTCAATCTAATTGTAATACAATTTATACTTAATTGAAAGCATAATTGTTTAATACTATAGGATATGTAGCTGAAATCTAATTATTAAAAGTTTAAGTAATTGTATGAACTGGTATTCTAGCAGTTCCAAGATATGTAAATCCAACCAATAATAAAGTTATTAGTACACCCAATAATATGAATTCATAGCACATAACTTCTAATAATCGTTTCATTATTGGCTTATCTTCATCACTTTCATAAAAAAATTAAGCACATGGTATTAGAAATGCAACCATTCCCAGTATTGTGCAATATATAACATACCACACAATCATCATCGAATCCCCTTCGGTAGTAAAAACACCCCTAAATTATATATCTTAATACTTAGATGCTGATATGTCTGCTGATACTAATAGGATTTATCCCCATGCCAAAGTGAAACCAAGTACAACTAATATTTTACAAAATAAAGAAGCACCAAATCCAGAATCAGATGCTAAATATATATCAGATGAATGTTATACGATGACAATATAAGGCTAGTATATAAATGTTGATTCCTAGTAACAGAACAGCTATTATACAGGAGATTATTATTAAAAATACGTCCATTCTTATTCTATATTTTAATTAATTTATTTTATAACATATATTATACTAAAGAGTTATTATAGGATAGATTCAGGACTATGTTTTCTTCATATTCTGATATTTAATTGTAATTTTAATTATATACAATTCAACTATTTTCAAATTGGATAATTTCAATAATAATTATTATATAAATTTAAAAGCATAATATTTTTATATTAATATTAGTATGTTTTTCTTTATTAATAATCAATTTGTTATAATTTATTAGTTAGAAATTATAAAGTATGATTAATTCTCAAATATCAGTATTAAGTACTATCAAATTTAGTTAATTAATTTACATATCAAGCATTTTAAAATGATTAAGGATCTTAATCCAAGGTAAATTTAATTCTAAAACTTTCCTTAGTTCTGAATATAAACACAGTAAGTCATTCTTTTAAATCGCTTATTCAACAATGCAATGGTCCAAATCTCCAATCCCTATAGCTATTACTAATCAAATCATTTCTGACGAAGTTAAATTTATAAATTAACAAGGAGTGGTAAGGTCTAAAACACTTAAAAGTGTTGAAAACTATTTATTTTATGAAACAAAAAAGGTAGAACATTACACCTTATTTTTTTTTTAGGGTAAAACCAAATGGATTGACATAGAGAATGCTATAATAGAAGTTTTTTATCATCAAAAATTTGGTTCAGCCTTGAGATTAATAAAATGTTTCGACGTCGTTGAAATCTTTTGCGATGCAAAATCATGGCTTAGCTATCTTAAACGCTTTACTGTATAATGCGATTTTAATGCTACATATATAGTTAAAAAGAAAATCGGCAAGGGTTAATTTTCAGATGTAAAAAAAAATTTCACTATTTCTATTTAGGTTTATAAAGGCATTAACAAATATGATGGAAATGAATATGCAGTCAAAATCTATTAAAAATAAAGTTTAATTGATGAAATTGATAGAGCTGCATTATTAAAAAGAACTTCTATTCATAGAAGACTTTAATCTGAATTTGCTCTTAAATTATATGAGATCTTTGAAAATAGTGAATAATTGATTGTAGTCTTAGAATTAATTACTGGAGGTAATCTAATGGATTATATTTCCAGAGAAAACTGTTTTCTAGAAGATAAAGCTGCTAAAATCATTTTTAGATTAGTCAAGACAATAAGTTATTTACATTCAAAGAATATTATTTATAGAGACTTAAAACCTGATAACATTGCTTTTAGAATAGCAGATAATATTGAAACACTTTGTATAATAAAATTTTAATTGGCTGATTTCTATGATCCAGAAACAAACTACGATTATGTTTGTTGTGGTACACCTGGTTTTATTGCACCAGAAATCTTACTTCATTAGAATTATGACTTAAAAGTTGATGTATTTAGTATTGGAGTAATTTTATATATTTTAATGACTGGAACACCACCATTTGATGGTGATACAAGATTATAGTAGAATATTGAGAGTGATGTTGATTTCAGTTCAATTAATTTAAGTCCACTTGGCCTTGATTTTATTGTTGGTACACTATAACCAAATCCAGAAGAAAGATTGACATCTCATTAATGTCTAAATCATTAATGGTTTATATAAGAACAATTAGCAAAATTAAAATAAATGTAAATGAAAAAACCAACTTTATTCTAAAATCAACAAATTGCTAGAAGAATTAAATAATCTAAAACCTTGACTCTTAGTACTTCCTCTCCTAGAAGTCAAATCTCTATTTAGAGTCCAAGAAACCATAATTTGCAATAGAGTTAAAATTATCCTTCTAAACTTACATAATTCAATACTGAAAAATTAATTGGACCTTCTTTTAGTTCTAAAGATATCATTTAATTTGAAAAGATCTAAACATAAATTCCTGATCATGACTAAAACTAAGAATAAAGTAATTAAAAAACATCCATTTAAAGTTAAATTAGATTATAAAGGAAAAAGACTTAATCTTTTGTTATTAAATCAAATTCAACAGCAAAACAATTCAACATTATTAAATCAAAGTTAAAATGAAAATATTTCTATAAATTTTTAGATTACATATAAAGAATCCAAAAATTATATATTTATAATTTATTTTTTTATTANAATGAATATGCAGTCAAAATCTATTAAAAATAAAGTTTAATTGATGAAATTGATAGAGCTGCATTATTAAAAAGAACTTCTATTCATAGAAGACTTTAATCTGAATTTGCTCTTAAATTATATGAGATCTTTGAAAATAGTGAATAATTGATTGTAGTCTTAGAATTAATTACTGGAGGTAATCTAATGGATTATATTTCCAGAGAAAACTGTTTTCTAGAAGATAAAGCTGCTAAAATCATTTTTAGATTAGTCAAGACAATAAGTTATTTACATTCAAAGAATATTATTTATAGAGACTTAAAACCTGATAACATTGCTTTTAGAATAGCAGATAATATTGAAACACTTTGTATAATAAAATTTTAATTGGCTGATTTCTATGATCCAGAAACAAACTACGATTATGTTTGTTGTGGTACACCTGGTTTTATTGCACCAGAAATCTTACTTCATTAGAATTATGACTTAAAAGTTGATGTATTTAGTATTGGAGTAATTTTATATATTTTAATGACTGGAACACCACCATTTGATGGTGATACAAGATTATAGTAGAATATTGAGAGTGATGTTGATTTCAGTTCAATTAATTTAAGTCCACTTGGCCTTGATTTTATTGTTGGTACACTATAACCAAATCCAGAAGAAAGATTGACATCTCATTAATGTCTAAATCATTAATGGTTTATATAAGAACAATTAGCAAAATTAAAATAAATGTAAATGAAAAAACCAACTTTATTCTAAAATCAACAAATTGCTAGAAGAATTAAATAATCTAAAACCTTGACTCTTAGTACTTCCTCTCCTAGAAGTCAAATCTCTATTTAGAGTCCAAGAAACCATAATTTGCAATAGAGTTAAAATTATCCTTCTAAACTTACATAATTCAATACTGAAAAATTAATTGGACCTTCTTTTAGTTCTAAAGATATCATTTAATTTGAAAAGATCTAAACATAAATTCCTGATCATGACTAAAACTAAGAATAAAGTAATTAAAAAACATCCATTTAAAGTTAAATTAGATTATAAAGGAAAAAGACTTAATCTTTTGTTATTAAATCAAATTCAACAGCAAAACAATTCAACATTATTAAATCAAAGTTAAAATGAAAATATTTCTATAAATTTTTAGATTACATATAAAGAATCCAAAAATTATATATTTATAATTTATTTTTTTATTATAGGATTCATTATAATATTTTATTAAAATTAAATTATTTATATTTATATTTAGAATATTACTTTTAGATTTTTACATTATCACTAACAATATGTAAATGATAATTTTAATGAAACAATATCTTATTAATTATTAATTAATAGACTAGTTTATAAATTATATACTTTAAATAAGAATTTCTCTCTTTTTAAATGATTTAGATTTAATACTTTTAAAATTTATAATAATAAAATCTTTATGATTATAATAAAATTCAATTAAATATTGTTGATCTATCTACCCAAACACCATCTCTTAAAATTCTACATTTACCTTTGAAGGGATTATTATTTTCATAATGGCTATCATGATCTGTATCTGTTAATGCAACATCACATTAAGCACAAAAAGTATTTTTACCTTAACATTCAAGTGAATGACATCTTATATAATTACATCCATTTTCAGCTCTATAAAATATTTATTCACACCAAGGACATCTGCAAAGATTAAGGGCTTTTTTATTTTAAATATAAAATTTTATCATTTCCCTTCTCTATTATTAATATTAGAATTTTTCATTTTTATATTCATTATATCTTACTTAATGATTTTAATCAATAATTTCTAAAACTTATTTCTCATCTGTGCACTTTTAGCAAAGAGGACATGTAAAATCATCTATATTTTTTTCATCAATTCTTTATTCAAAATATTCCTTTAAACAAACTTTGCAAAACTAATGTTAACAACTTGTAATTTAGTAAGGTTAATTTAAATTATCATAACAAATTAAGCACGTTTCATTTTAATCTTAACAAAATTCTTGCATAATAGAAAATAAAAAAAATAAATATATTATATATTTGAGGGTTGTGAAATCCTTTCAAACTTTATTGATATTAATACATAATAGATTTACATGATTAAATATAAATCAAAAAATAACAAAGTTTGAAAAATATATGAACTATTGATATAAAATTTTTATTATTATAGAATTTCATATTCAATATGCTTTTAGGTTTGTATTTCTTCATTTTCTAGGTTATTCCAAATTTGCCTTCTCTTGTTAAAACTCTGACTTAGCATATTTTTATAGACTTAATTCTTTTTATTAGTTCATTAAAAAATGTAGAGTTTCCATTCTCTATTTGTAAATGTTTAATGCTAAAATTTATAATAGCTATTGATTTTGTGAATTTTCTATTTCTGGATATTTGCTTTCATCCAATACATCTATGGATGATTTAGCTTATTAATTATCTTTATTAACAATCATATAATTTTATTTCTAGCCATTTGATGGTTGATTCATATTCTTCAAATAACAGATTCCATTAAGCCTTAAAGCTTTGGATAATTCTGAATCAAAAAATAGATCTTATTTAGTTATTTCTTCTCCACATTAAATGCATTTAAATATATCATTATCTTAATCATATTTCTATAGTATAACCTAGATAACACCTTACTCATAAACACACTTTAATGTCTTACACTTCATACTTCTAATAGGTTATCTTAAATTGTTCAAAGTAAAAGCACATTTTTTGGATATTTTTCTTTTTACTTCCCATGCAAATTATGCTTAACTCTCAATTATTTTTGTATAGAACTTTTAAGATTTTGCACTATGGCCTTAAAAAAAATCTTACATTACTTTATTTAAAAATAATAATAAAGAAAATATGTAAATTAAAATATCTCTTATTAATTATTAAATAGTATATTATTTTATTCAAGTAAATATATTAGAAAATAAATTAAATATAGGTATTATTATTAAATGATATAATATATAAGGATATTCAAATTAATAAAGAATCATCTCAATCCTAAAAATCAGTATGAGGATTAAATTTCAAAATTTCTTAAATACCTTCTTATTCCATCAACCAATTTCTCCAATCATCATAACTTAAAACATTTTATTTAGATGCATGATTTTAATAAATTTCATTGACTATTTCTTCTAATGCAAGTTCAATCTATCTGTCATGTGATTCACTTATTCTTTATTTTAAATCATTTAAATCTTAATTCTCATAATTGATTGACATCATGCCCTAAAAGATAATATTATGAACTACTTCTAAAAACATCATCATTAAATTATACATCTCATCTTTTTCTATACTACCTTCTAAATTCATATCAAACATGGAATATAAAAATCTTAATCTCCCTTCATCATTTTATTAAGATAACATTGAAATAGCTTTTAGAAACTTGGCATAATCTAAGAATGGTCTAAATCACATCGATAGTTATTAATATACCCTGTTTTTTTCTATGAGAAAGTTGATTTAACACATTAAAAAATCCTATTTCCAAGTCTTTTATTATCAAGTTCTGCCATTCCAAAATATTCTAGTAACTTTTTTCTACTCATTTTATTCTCTTTAGAATAGGACTCAAAGTCTTCTCGAACTCTTTGTAATTTCTCTTTTGAAAAAACTGTCTCTTCTAAATGAATAATTTCCTTTTGAATATTTTCTACATTATGTTAATCTTCCTTAAACTATTATAATTTATTTCGTCCTCCTTAATTATCATCATCTAAATCTTCTCCTTCATTTGCATTTTTTAAATATGCCTTTAATTTACTTTCTACAGCTAAAGTTGTTCCTTCTCTATAGGGAGCAATAACATTAGATTAACTTTAATCTTTTTTAAATTATTTATCATTAGTTGTCAATTGTCTCTGAAATTTATTTTAATTCACTGAGGGTTTATTTCCCATATTATTAATTAACTATATTATAATATTATTTCATTTAAACATTTTATATTCTCTCAACTAAAATTCAAATTTTTTAGTTATTTATATACTATTGTATTTAAGATTTATATAATAAATTCTTGATAATTTTCATTATAAAAAAAGTAACAAATTTTATTATAATTAATTAACATTTTACATAATAATGGATGATTCATTTGAAATAAATCACGAATCAGAAGAATAATCATAAGAATCTATTAAAGATGAAGATGACTTTGTTGAAAGAGTAAATTAATTAAAGAAGATTGTACCTAATAAATAAGAAGACTTTGAAATTATGGAAGAAGGATTACCTGATGATTTATTAGAATTATAGTAAAAAATATAAAGAAAGGAATAAAAAAAGATTGAATAAAAACCTAAAAAGTAGAGCTATGTTCCAATTAATGAAATACGAACAACATTTATTATCCATTTATTTAAATTATATCAAGATCATAAAACTTTGAACAATTAAACTAAATTTGCATTCAAATTTTCTAATTTTTAATATTCTACTATAGAAATGATAGAAACAAAACTTAATTAAGCTTAAAATTTATAAGAACAAATATTTGCTCTTTATTAAGGTTTTGCATTGACTTATTCATTAAAAAATCAATTTTCTAAAGGTATCTAAATTGCTATTTTGAGTCCTTCTGAATATATAATTACTTTTGGGTAATTATGTAAATATTATGGATTGAATGTTAGATTAGTAAGAGCATTTGATATAGGATTTTTGGGTTTAGAATTAAAATTTAAGATTCGCACAATAAAGAAAACTGAATAAGAAACTGAAGAGGGTGAATAAAATACTAAAACAATATTTGATTTAAATTCATAATTTATGACTTAATCAGAGAACATTGAATCATTAAATAAGTTTATTTATTAAAAATCTACTAAAAAAGATAAAACTTTAATAGTATCATAAGAATTATAAAAAAATTAATAATAGAGTGAAAATAAAAGTTAAATTGATTAAAAATAAGAATAATAAAAACCAAAAAAAAAGGATAATAAAAAATAAATAAATGAAAGATAAATTAATTAAGATATTTAAATATATAATGAGAATATTTGGCTAGAATTTTATGATAATAATTAGAATTAATGGATTCCATTTGATCCTATATCAGATAAATTTGTATTAATGGATATAAATATTTTAAAAACAAAACTTCAAAATAGTTTTAGTCATTTTATTATTGCTGCATAAGATTTAACATTTAAAGATCCAAATTTTCATTTAAACAGAATATTCAATAATACTCATTTTGTAGATGTTACATAAAAATATTCTTATAATTATTAAATTCAAAGAATTTAATTATCACTTGAAAGATGGTTCAATCAATTAGCTTATAATGCAAGTATATGAATGAATATTTTAGAATTAATATACAAAGGACTCTAATAATTAGTGAATGAACCTGTTAGTGCAAATATAATAGTACCATCTCCAGGACAATATACAAATGAAAAGGAATTTAAATATAGTTAATTTTATGCTTTGGCATCATAACTTTCATAATATTAGATGATACATCCAGATGCAAAACCAATTGGTGTTAAATTCAAAGATGAAGATATTTATTTATAAAGTGATGTAATTATTCTTCATTCCAGAGATAAATGGAGAGAATATTTAAGAGAAGTTAAATCTGATTAATAACCTATCAAAGAAGTAAGTTAGAAATTTGATAAAACTAAAACTACTGCTTTATATGCTATTTGGTAGACTGATGATATTAAAGTAAGCTTATAAGATAATGATGGAAATTTGCCTGTAAATGCTTATGGAAATTATGAAGTATACAATTCTAATTGAATAGACATTTTCTTTTCCACCTCCTAAAGGTACTAAACTTGTTAGATTACAAGGAATCAAGCATTTGTTGGCAAAGAACAATATCAAATTTATTGAAGCAGTGGATGGATTTGATTCATAAAATGGTAAAATGTTTGCTTAAAAATGTGGTTATTTGATTTTTAATGAAGATTATGATAAAATTATTGATCTTTATGAATAATTCAAAATTGAAATTTCTGAAAAAAACAAAATTAATAAAAAAAAGGAATTATTGAAATTATGGAGTGATTTATTTAAAACTATTCTATTAAAAAGAGATTTATAAGCAAAGTACTAATAAATTAATTGACAATATATGTATGTAT